AACCGGTACAGGTATTAAACCCCCGAAACCGGTGTGCCAAGTCATCTGCTGATGATGTTCACATAACATTATTTCCTCTCTCCTTTATTCCTTCCGTCTTTTCTTAAACTTACAGTTCAGTTACTTTATTTCACCAGGTCTACCTAAGGATCAATTATTCTTTGGTGGGGTTTCACTTCTGGTATTGGCTTCATTCCTGTTCCTTTTCCTTATTCTTTATTCTTATTTTTTATATAGTTTAATGAGACTGCCCTACGCAATATACCGGCTAGGAGAGGACCATGTTCCTGTCACAAACATTTACTTCCACCTCCACTTCTACAGACTGGCAGTCTCACTTGCTTATCTCAACACACTGAGCAACTTCTTCATCTATAACTTCGTGCCCAGTTTCAGAACTTTTGTGTGGTCACGATTAACTTTAGTAGTTCAGAAGTGGAGACAGTTCAAATCTAATCTCCAGCTGCTGGAAGCTTATCTGCAGTACTTTTAGAATTTATACACTATGTTGCTGAGTCGCAGGGAGTGGGGAGTAAACAAACTACTTTGTTGCTGGGTAAACAAACTACTTTGTTGCTGGGTAAACAAACTACTTTGTTGCTGGGTAAACAAACTACTTTGTTGCTGGGTTAACAAACTACTTTGTTGCTGGGTAAACAAGCTACTTTGTTGCTGGGTAAACAAACTACTTTGTTGCTGGGTAAACAAACTACTTTGTTGCTGGGTAAACAAACTACTTTGTTGCTGGGTAAACAAACTACTTTGTTGCTGGGTAAACAAGCTACTTTGTTGCTGGGTAAACAAGCTACTTTGATATAAATCTCACATATATTGTGGATGTTCTTTATATTTTGCAATAAATGATGAAATAGTGACCCCAGTATACCAAATTTTTCATTTATCCGTTTGTTTCGTTTCTTCATGGAAAATATTTGTATTGATTGGAAACATAAGCTCAATTCAGGTGCGACAAATCGCGAATTCGGATATAAAATTGCATAGAAATGTGGAAAGCATACGCGCAGTGGCGTAACGTTGCCTGTTGGCGCCCCCTGCCGAAAAAAGCGCCCCCCTGTTGGCGCCCCTCCCCTTTTGGTGCCCCTCCCTAAAATTGAACAAATTAGGTGATTTTAGAGAATACGCCGGTAAAATCTCTAAAAAAGTGTGTATCTAGAGCAAAACGCGCAGTTTTGCTAGTACTTTAGTTAAGTTTTCGAAATTGTCCCACATTCAAACGACGATTTGGCGCCCCCCTAAGACGGCGCCCCCCTGCACAGCGGGGTCAGCAGGGCCTTTCGTTACGCCACTGCATACGCGGCCATTCTGCAACCGCTGCAAATAAATAATATCTCTAATGGCACATATACAGTCCTCACACTTGACATGGATAGTTTATACAGCTTTAGACGAATGTGGAAGGAATCACAAATTAAGTTTGGCCACTTGAACCTACTCTAACAGATGCAAGGCTCGAAGTCAGTCTCAATAAATAATCAAAATTTCTTGAGATGAACGTATATAATATGATCAAATACTCAAATAGTTCCATTTTGATGAAAAGTATTCGAATTTGCTAATTTAATTCTAAACCGAGCCGGTTTTCTGGGTAGTATACTCAGCAGCTGATTCTAGGAGTCACGTGACCTATGGGTTGGTATCGGCCCAATTAGACACGTCCTAAACGCTCACGTGACCAGTTTTACCCGCACAATACGCAGTGATTCTGTGTCGGTACAGTGAAAGAGTAAACAACGGTTAAATCAGAGGAGAGAAAGAGACTGGGGGATCTATTTTTAGTAACTGGACTACATCCAGGTTTTACCCATTCCGAAAGAAATTATAATTGGTTTTGAGTTTTACTTTTAGTTTACGTCGCTCCCTTTCTGACATTACGCGTGAACGAACGCACCCGCGTCCCGCACCCACGGATTTTTTACTTATATTAAGGAAACAATCCTTCATGTGAGCTCTCCCATTGTATGATCTCCCATTCACTGTATGACTCTCTATAACCACATTCCACATTCCTTTATCTTTTTGCTCTCAGTTGAAAGTCAGACTTCAATTAATTTGTTTCCCTACTCTTGCCGAAGGCAAAAAGATCGTAGGGAATAAGTAATCGGGTTTGGATATATGAGGTGGCCCGATGAACCTACGGTGTCGAAAAAAGTCTGCTCCTTCGCAATATATACCACTCCCCTATAATTAAGTGTATAGGAAGCGTATGGTATGCTGCGCGCGACGAATGACGATAGCCATGTGTTAATTAATTACAGTGAAATTCCTCCTTCGCAAAGTTATTTTCTGGATTTATTAAATGTTGATGCGCGGCGCTGCATTGGTGAAATAAATTGTAAATTTTTACCATGCACGAATCCTTCTCATTTACAAAAAAAAACATTGCATAGTAATTAGTATGTAAATATGTTGCACTTTTTTCCAGTCACATTTTTCACTCAAAAGATTTGATGGTACAAGTAGTAGTACATCGTAGGGAAAATTGATCGTGGGTGGTTTAACCGCGGCGAAATTCTTGTTTATGATTAAGTTTCAATTGGATTCGTAGCTTTAATAGAATATGACCGGATCAGCATTATCGGAGACTCTTTTTACCTCAGAAAGTGCTAACATACGCTCTCTATATCACGTGACTAGAATATAGCTCTCTGATTGGTTAGTTGTCATACGTTTCTTGCTTAACTGCTTTTCCTTGCAATTTGCAAATATTCATCATTTGGATGACTCACAAATATAAATTGGAGTAAATTGAAGTTGAACTGCATGGACAGGAGATCAATGTGTTAAGAACTTGTCTCTAGAGCGAATATTGACTTCAAGAAGTGAGACCATGTTACGATTGGTACCAATATCCCTCATAGTCTCACTACTACACTCAATAGGAAACGGTTTGAAAATTGTTTTTTTTTTATTACACTATACTTCTGTTCAACACTGCAAAAGTTACTTTTTAAACGAATGTGGACAGGAATTAGTGGTAGCTAAATATCCTTTTCTTACTCTTTAACTTTAACATCCATGTTTTAATATTTCTAATTTTTTCAGCGGGGGGATGGAAAAATCAAGAAAATGGCGTCTGGTTTCCACATATATGGGATGATATACCTCTTGAAGTGAAGACAACCTCCACGATAGGAAGTGGTGATTCAATACGTTTTGATGTTGCGCACTTATACGGTATACCGTTTGCAAGAGTTGTAGTGCGATTAAGTAATACTCCTATCTTCTTCATTCACATGTGCCAAGATGACACTGCGCTGCAAGATCTACCCGACGCCCAAAATGACGTGAGGATTTGGACATTCATTAAGCTGGGATTCAAAGGAATTGCAATCAAGTGTAACGGAGTATTGGTGGCAGAAATGAATTTTGCTGAATCAAGTCAAAATGAAAGATGTTCATCCTCAGAATGGGAGACTAGTACAGTAAGGTTCATCAAGATTCCTACTTGGACACTATCAGTGGATATTAGAGGTGGGTTAATGTTTTATCACCATTTTATCACATCTGCATATCACTTTATGAAATTGTAAGATATTTTTTTTAAATATAAAGTTGAGCGTTTAATCAACTAAAAGCGTCACTTTGTTTCAGATGTGTGTTCGGAAGGGAGCTACAGAAACTACACTATGACGGACCAGGAATGTGTTAGATGCGAAGGAAACACCTTTAGCTCAACAAAAGGTGCTGGAATCTGCTCCGACTGCCCGGATGGAACAGTCGTAAACGAGCAGAACACACTTTGTGGTATGTACCTATCATAACTGCATTTTTGCAATGAATACTAAAACTCCCATCAAGTTATACTGGTATATTGTCCAATTTACCATTATCCAATGGCTCTTTTAAATTTAAAGAGGGAATATTATAATATTTGATATTTTAAGCAATGTATCTAATTACTTTGTTTCAGATGTGTGTTCGGAAGGGAGCTACAGGAACTACACTATGACGGACCAGGAATGTGTTAGATGCGAAGGAAACACTTTTAGCTCAATAAAAGGTGCGGCAATCTGCTCCGACTGCCCAGATGGAACAGTCGTAAACGAGCAGAAGACACTTTGTATTACCAGTGGTATGTCTAGATCAAATAGAATTCTTTACCCACTATGTAGTATGTAGTATGTAGTGGTATTTCCGCATCAACTTAATTCATTTCTGGTAAATGGAGTGTTTTTGGTATACAATATGAATGACGAGAACAATATCTCAGGTTACAATATTATTCTGCCTGTGGCATGTGCTTTAGCTGGCATGTTCTTAGTTCTGATAATAGTTGCTGCACGAAAATGTCTGCTAAGAAAATGCCTCTGTAGAAACGTGGAAGTGGAGTTGGAGGCTGAATATATCAACGCTGAAACCGTTGAACTGCAAGCAAGGTTGCCTCCCTTACCATCTCACGTCCCTCCAATACCACTGTAAGGTGCAAGCTGCAAGAAAATTGAGGAACAGAGAGCAGCAACTTACAATGACTCAGAACTAAACTGAGATATGTTTAGTTGTCTTTTGTAAGAGTTTGGGGGAAAAGGCTAGAGCCGCGAGTTTTTGACTTTTCGCTTTATTAAGCGCCAATTTGGGAAACGAAATGTTTGCAGTAAATCGGGGTTTAAATTTAAAACTTAATTGCTAGGAACTATGAATTAATTTTATCTATATTTCGGTTTTTCAAAAGATTTGTAAATGATTTAATTATAAGTAATAATATAGATATTACAGTGTATTAAGAGTTCAGCTTTATCTCTCTACCTTTCGTATCGATTACATATTTTCGGCCATTTTTATATTAACTTTAGCACTTTACATTATTAACTGGGAATATACATGCATTCTGGAGTTTAAATTATCACCATGCCAGCCGCTTTGAAATTGAATAGAAGTCTTAAGTTGTCAAGATAAGCCATAACTAGATAAGAGGTGACTGTAAAACTATAAAAGTTTCGGATAACAAACTCACTTCAAGTTCAATATCTGAAATATCTGACCTGCATGGGGGTAGGAGGAGGTTGACCGTCGTGCATATAGAGAATGTAACAGTAGGCGTTCTGAAAGTGTCCCATGATGCTGTAATAATGAGGTATGAACTCGCAGCACCCAAACCCCAGGGATTCGTAGAACTTTATAGCGTGCTTGTTGGACGCTAGCACGTGCAGATAGACTCCTTTTACTTCTGGCAGGGTTTTCAAACGGGACAAGATCTCTTTTACTAACACAGATGCTATACCTGCAAATTGCTGGGTGTTATAAGCAGTACTGTGTCACGATTTAGGTTATCTGTTATCAATAAACTGTACAATAGCTGAAGTAAAAATCGTGACTTAAGATAATATTTCCTTGTGTTTGAAGACGTACCCATACGGCGGAAGGGTTGTCTGACTCCAAGTGTCATGATATAAGTCAGGATACTATCCCTCAATTGTGCTCTGTCAAGGAGAGCTATCTCGTCCGGAGAACAAGACTTACTCTGTCTCAACTGAGAGGGGTCGGATCAGGTTATTTAAGTAGTCCAGTCATTTATGAGATTTGCAGGTAGATGTCCTTGAAGATGTTAAATGACCAGACTAAAGGTGGTTGTGTATGATATAATCAGCCTATTAAAGTTCATAATGATATTCTATTGTAAGCTATCATGAAGATTTTTGAAGCAATGTCCTGTTGTAAAGTTGTAAAGTTAGTGCACATCCGAAAAGAAAGCGAAAATGATAATTATGGTATAGTAGATCGTGGAGTGATAAATTCTGAATACCATGAAATTGTAGTTTATTACTCCATCAGAACTGAATAATTATAGAACGAATAAATGAGACCCTGGATGAGCTAGGAGAGATTATAGCTCCAGTAATGAAGTAATTATGCAATTATGTAATTATGTAATTATGTAATTACCGGATAATTACCTCGGTGACAACAAGTCCAATGATGGTGTCCTCCTGGACGGCTGCTAGTGTCATGTACCTCTCCGTGTCAGTGGTAATATCATGATACCAACTGTTCGGGTACTCCACCGGAAACCACTGTAAGATAATGGGACATGTTGCTATGTATCATGTCATTAATATGTTACTCTTATATAGATGATAATATAAAAGAGCACATATCGGCCTGTACGAGCCTTATGAAAAATGCCTTATTCCAAGAAATACGTCAGTAAGCTCATCACCACCTTCATTATTAGTACTAAGTAATTTTTACCACCATAATTAAAGAAATGAGGTTTAAACCTAAGTATATTGAGACGTAATGAAACTTAAAATACATCGACTCTGTTACATCGTTTCCTCAAATTATTTTTTTATATAGTAGTGTTGATCGGCCTGTACGAGCCTTAGGAAAAATGCCTTATTCCAAGAAATACGTCAGTAAGCTCATCACCACCTTCATTATTAGTACTAAGTAATTTTTACCACCATAATTAAAGAAATGAGGTTTAAACCTAAGTATATTGAGACGTAATGAAACTTAAAATACATCGACTCTGTTACATCGTTTCCTCAAATTATTTTTTTATATAGTAGTGTTGAAAGTATTAAAAAGTATATAAACTCCGAGTCTATGCTATAGAGTAGAATATAAAATTTAATAACCCAAACAATAACTATATAATAAGACCTGTAATAGTAACACAGCTAATTGTGCTGATATTCACAACCAGATAAAAATAGTCAATATACCTGAGTGTGGAGATATTTGAGCTGGGTCACGTCATCAGCCCGTAGAGGTCGGAGCTTGTAGTCCGGATATTTGGCGGCAGTACTCCGCATGCAGTCCACCTCCACTACAGCGCACAACCACCCAGCTCCCTCGCGAAGCGTTGTGCTCTCACTTTATCGCACGTCCGCACTTTCTACCGTACTTCTACCACGTGCAATGTTCGTCTTGTCTCGCACGTGTGTTGGTGTGGCTCGTTCTCCCGAGTAAGATCAGAGTTTCAGGCCCATAACGACAGAGAGGGTTCAATCGAGCTAGAAAATAAGTTTTACTGAGAGATGTGTTGCAATGAAGTAGCGTGGAAAATGTCAAATTATAAAACGTTGCAAATACTCGGTCACACTGCAGTTATGGGTATTGGTAACTACATTTTAAAAAGGGTGTTGAGCAACACCTGTACAGATCACTATGACAGAATCGCAGCGATGCAGCCGTCCGTGATCAAAGAGCAGCGAACCTTATAACGACCTTATAACCACTAGTGGCCGCCATCCAGGCACCAAACTAAAGACAAACAGCAATAACTTCCTAGTGTATTACTAGTATCAGTACACTCTTACACCCCTGTCCCTTGCACTGGTATGGAGATTATCCATAACTCGATGAACGATTTACTTAGTGTCAAAGCTAATGTAAGCTTTACCCTTCGCAACGGTTTGCTCGTCAAGTAATTTAAAAAACATTAAAATGAAAGTAGCTGAAGAAGGCTAATTTGTGGGGAGGGCGGTTGACAGATGTTGTACATGAGTCTGCAATACCGACTACAGTAACTTCATTACAAACTGTTAACTAGACATGGCGCAACTTGTCGGACACCGCAGAGCTTGTCAATAAGTCATATTGTAATAAAGCTGGCTATAATCGAGCGAAATATTTAGACACATGTGCTGTGACGGGCCCGCTATTCGAGCTGGCATGAAATTAGAAATATGCGTGATCACTGCAAATGTTCTGAATATAATGATCACTAAATATTCTGAATATATGCATATTGTAGAAGTATTATGTTCTAGAATATATAGGGCTGATAATACGATAATGTGCACCTCCATTGGAATGCTATTGGAACCACATTTTTGACACCAAGTTTTAACGCACTGAGAACTGAAGTCATACAAACAACCAATAAAAATACAAACAAAAAGGAAGAATATGCGAAATATTTGAATGATTTAGTTCAGGAATGAAATGACAGGTCGAAGTAAAGGAAACCACTGAAAAATGATACGTGTCGGGAGGATCATTGTTTGGAAGCTATGCTAATTTGTAACCTGAGCAGTGTTACACATTCACTCATCAAATAAGAAATATATTATACTGACGTCAGAATAAACTGACGTCACTGTGACACTAGGATTCCGCTTTACTTTGATATATAACTTTAAAACAAATTTCCGGCACACGCATTTTTAAATTAGACAAGTTTTGAAAACATTTCTTCTAATGTGATAGTGAAGTGGGGCATAAGAAAACAACCAAAATGCAGATTCTCAGGAAACTTTAAGTTGAATGTTTTATTTCTGATTGTTCTTGTACAATAAACATGTACAATGTACATGTACATTGTACAATGTACAATACATTTTACCGAAGAGGACACGCCCATGTATGGCGTGATCAGCAGTCCTCAACTTAGAATTTGCTCATTAAAACTGTCATCAATATCACATTTGGAGAACTAATGTAAGAGGGCATGAGCACACCACTACAAGTATCATGTACATAGCTCGACCGGGATTTGGTGATTTTGTCCCCGTCCCGGTCCCGGTCCCGGCCGGGATTTTGTTTTTAGCCGGGATTTTTCCAAAATAAAGTCGGTTTTTGAGCGTATATTTGAGCCCAAATTTCACGAACCTGTGAACATTTTCCGAAAAGTTTTACTACAACAGTGCTCTACAGTGCTTCTTAATAGTTAGATCATTTCACTTTCTCGTCGCCAAAAGTTTATTGAAAATTCAACTTTCAAGTCTTATGTGAAATGTTTATGTTACATGATCAAAATTCTATGAAAAATCTCAGAGATAAAGAGAGAGATAGAGAGAGATAGAGAGAGAGAGAGAGAGAGAGAGAGAGAGAGAGAGAGAGAGAGAGAGAGAGAGAGAGAGAGAGAGAGAGAGAGAGAGATAGAGAAAGATAGAGAGAGATAGAGATTAGAGAGAGATAGAGTAGTTACTACTACTTACTGTCAATTTTAACTTGACATGCCTCAGTTTGTTCTGGAAGATTTTATTTAACATTTAACACTGTTTCATTTTAACTGAGATTGAGAAATATTGGAAAAATCCCGGTCCCGGTCCCGGTCCCGGCCGGGATGAGGCTAATCCCGGTCCCGGCCGGGTTTTCATTTCGATCCCGGTCCCGGCCGGGATGAAGGTCATCCCGGCCCGGTCCCGGCCGGGACTAAATTTCTATCCCGGTCGACCACTGATCATGTACAATGTACAATGTACAGTGTACATAAAATGTATACCGATCTAAAAGTTTAAAAAGGAGTGGTGTTATATTGTTCATATATCACTTAAACTGTTAAGAGAATCGAGCGGGAACCTTATCTTAGCGGTAACGAACCATATACTGATAACAGTTCTACGAGAGATGAGCGGGTTAAGAGGCCCTAGTAAACCGCAAATGAGGGGGCAGTGTGGCGCAATACACCCTGTCTATTGGTACAACACTTTATTAGGGGACCATAGTACATTGGGATGTTAGAGCGATACAAAGCTCACCGTTTACAAGAGGGTACGGGAGGGGTACAGGAGGGGTACAGGAGGGGTACAAGAGGGGTACAAGAGGGGTACGGGAGGGGTACGGATGGAGTACGGGAGGGGTACGGGAGGGGTACAAGAGGGTACGGGAGGGGTACAAGAGGGTACGGGAGGGGTACAGGAGGGGTAGTGAGTCACTAGTGGTGACACAAGTGTGTACTGAGAAGTAAGTAATGAGATCTGACTGAGTAGACCTCAAGACAGGTATGTTATAGTAACAAGAGTGAGCTAAGGAGATCTCAAAGAGAGCTAGGTTCAAATATTCAGATACCAATTAGCAACTCTGATGTAATTGAAACAGTAGAGTTTTTCGCAGCTAATACGGATTCCTGCAGAAGGTCGCGTGGGAGGAAAACCAAGTTTTTCATCACACCCGAAGTGGAAATGCCATTTCTGTACCATTTTGGTTACAATTTGCAAAACGTGCAACCACGCTGGATAATTGTTGATCAGTTAACCATATGATGTAACCACCCAACAATCACTATACTGTAAATAGAACCAAAAGGATCACCTAGTACTGTGTAATCATTATACAGTGTATACACGGTATAATACTAATTGAGTAATCTCTCTCCCTCCCTCCCTCCCTCCCTCCCTCCCTCCCTCCCTCCCTCCCTCCCTCCCTCCCTCCCTCCCTCCCTCCCTCCCTCCCTCCCTCCCTCCCTCCCTCCCTCCCTCCCTCCCTCCCTCCCTCCCTCCCTCCCTCCCTCCCTCCCTCCCTCCCTCCCTCCCTCCCTCCCTCCCTCCCTCCCTCCCTCCCTCCCTCCCTCCCTCCCTCCCTCCCTCCCTCCCTCCCTCCCTCCCTCCCTCCCTCCCTCCCTCCCTCCCTCCCTCCCTCCCTCCCTCCCTCCCTCCCTCCCTCCCTCCCTCCCTCCCTCCCTCCCTCCCTCCCTCCCTCCCTCCCTCCCTCCCTCCCTCCCTCCCTCCCTCCCTCCCTCCCTCCCTCCCTCCCTCCCTCCCTCCCTCCCTCCCTCCCTCCCTCCCTCCCTCCCTCCCTCCCTCCCTCCCTCCCTCCCTCCCTCCCTCCCTCCCTCCCTCCCTCCCTCCCTCCCTCCCTCCCTCCCTCCCTCCCTCCCTCCCTCCCTCCCTCCCTCCCTCCCTCCCTCCCTCCCTCCCTCCCTCCCTCCCTCCCTCCCTCCCTCCCTCCCTCCCTCCCTCCCTCCCTCCCTCCCTCCCTCCCTCGCTCGCTCGCTCGCTCGCTCGCTCGCTCGCTCGCTCTCTCTCTCTCTCTCTCTCTCTCTCTCTCTCTCTCTCTCTCTCTCTCTCTCTCTCTCTCTCTCTCTCTCTCTCTCTCTCTCTCTCTCTCTCTCTCTCTCTCTCTCTCTCTCTCTCTCTCTCTCTCTCTCTCTCTCTCTCTCTCTCTCTCTCTCTCTCTCTCTCTCTCTCTCTCTCTCTCTCTCTCTCTCTCTCTCAAGCAGTTATTGGGCAATGTCTTGTGCAATGCAGCACAATGCAGCACAATAGCAATGATTCTTACAACTATAATACAAACTGTAATATGATTAACAAATAATATGATAAAATTAAAACCGTTCAATTCATTCCACAGTCAAGCTCAATATATATGGGCTTTACATTTATTTCTATAGGGCGATCAAGCGTTGCAACTCCAGGTTTAGTGAAACGATTAGGATAAACTAAACTCTGCCGGGCAAACCAATCCTGACAATAGCAGCTCTGAAGTAAAGCGAGTCCGTCAGATATGAGATAGTTAGTGTGGACCGTAATGAGGAGATCCAGGAAATGTGGGAAATTGCTACATAACGAGCACGTGCATTGTGTGTAAACTACACGTGTATTGTACAGTGTAAACTACACGTGTATTGTGTGTAAACTACACGTGTATTATGTGTAAAATACACGTGCATTGTGTGTAAACTACACGTGTATTGTGTGTAAACTACACGTGCATTGTGTGTAACCTACACGTGCATTGTGTGTAAACTACACGTGCATTGTGTGTAAACAACACGTGTATTGTGTGTAAACTACACGTGTATTGTTAATTGTACAGTGTAAACTAAACGTGTATTGTGTGTAAACTACACGTGTATTGTGTGTAAACTACACGTGTATTGTGTGTAAACTACAAGTGTATTGTGTGTAAACTACAAGTGTATTGTGTGTAAACTACACGTGTATTGTGTGTAAACTACACGTGTATTGTGTGTAAATTACACGTGTATTGTGTGTAAACTACACGTGTATTGTACAGTGTAACCTACACGTGTATTGTGTGTAAACTACACGTGTATTGTGTGTAAACTACACGTGCATTGTACAGTGTAAACTACACGTGTATTGTGTGTAAACTACACGTGTATTGTGTGTAAACTACACGTGTATTGTGTGTAAACTACACGTGTATTGTGTGAGTGTGTGTAAACTACACGCGTATTGTACAGTGTAAACTACACGTATATTGTGTGTAAACTACACGTGCATTGTGTGTAAACTACACGTGTATTGTGTGTAAACTACACGTG